GCAGAATAATTTTTTGGATGCTTTTGTCATGAATGACTTTTCAATAACTTTGAAGCATGGGATCTTTTTATTGCAATTGCCAGTGTGAGAAGGTATATCAGATTACAGAAAAACATTTAGACATACAGATTCCATGCAACTACATTGGATGTACAATTACATTGGTTAACAAACAAACAAAGGGGAGTTGCATTTTCACTCAACACTCACACCCACATGTACACGCATTCATCCACATGCATCCAAATATTACCATATCCTTTTCTCCCTCCTTGGAGGAGCACCTCTTAGGCCAGACCCTGATTTCCTGCAGCCTGCCAACGCATACTTCCATAACGCCATAACTTCAAAATGCCAAAGCTTCTTCCCTAAGAACAATGCCAAGGACCAGATCTCTGTTTTCCATACAACAGGACCTGACTCCCTGCACAAAATCTAAGACTCCAAAAGCGCCTTCCTTCTTCCTCTTCCCTTGAGAGAGAAGCCCCAAAGTGACCAGACTGCTCCTGTGCAGATCTGCCACTCTCCGAATACACCATTCCTGTCCTTCCCATGGAGCAGAGCATGGCGGGTGAACAGTGTCTCTGTCTGTCACACTTTGAGCATTATTAGGCTGAGCCTTTTATAGGCATATTCTATCGATGTCGTCCCAAAGTTGTAAATTAATGATAGACGTCTTCCGTCCTGGCTTCCATCTCAGTGTTGATCTTTTTGATTGGTGTTAACAAACACAAGGCTTGTGTTGACTTCCTTCTCAACATAAGGAAGGTTGCAAACATTTCCTTTATCGCTCTCCCAGTTCTTACCAGGGTTTCTCATTAGCAAATCCAGCAAGCAGGTAGTTAGTGATTGCAGGCCTTCATATTTTACTGATGTCTCCAAAATCATTCACTCCATTCATACATCCTTCCATTCATTCCCACACATCATATTAAATTCACATTTATCAAATTTGCACATTCAATTTCTTATTACACTTTGACATCCAAAGACAGCTGGAATGTGTCCAGAGGAGGGCGACTAAAATGATCAAGGGTCTGGAGAACAAGCCCTATGAGGAGCGGCTTAAGGAGCTGGGCATGTTTAGCCTGAAGAAGAGAAGGCTGAAAGGAGATATGATGAGAGCCATGTATACATATGTGAGAGGAAGCCACAGGGAAGAGGAGAGAGCAAGCTTGTTTTCTGCTTCCCTGGAGACTAGGACACAATGGAACAATGGCTTCAAACTACAAAAGAGGAGATTCCATCTGAACATGGTTCACCGAACATGGTTCACCGAGGAGCTGGCAGCAATGAAGCGAAGGAAGAGGGAACTAGAGAGTGTGTGGCGTTCGGATCCGAGTGAGCCAAATCGAACACGGTTTGTGTCCTTTTTAAGGGCATATGCCGTGGCAATAAAAGCCGCAAAGAAGGCCTTCTTTGCGGCCACTATTGTGTCTGCAAAGAATCGTCTGGCTGAGCTGTTCCGAATTGTCAGAGGCCTTTTAAATCCCTCCGCTCAAGGTGGGAACCCTGACGATTCAACTTCTTGCAGTGAAGCTTTTGCTCAGTTCTTTGCAGACAAAGTCGCTTTGATCCGTTCTGGTCTGGATACCATGTTAATGGCAGTCTCTGAGGATGTAACACGAGCACCTGCTTGTCCAGTTTTGATGGATTCATTTCAATTGGTGAAACCCGAGGATGTGGACAAGATACTTGGAGGAATGAGGCCAACCACATGCATCCTGGACCCCTGCCCATCCTGGCTTCTAAAGGAGGCCAGAGGGGGATTGGCTGAGTGGGTTAAGGTGGTAGTTAATGCTTCCCTTCGGGAAGGCAAGATTCCAGCGAGCTTAAAACAAGCTATAATAAAACCGCTGTTGAAGAAACCATCACTGGACCCCACTAAATTCGACAACTATCGGCCAGTTTCCAATCTCCCCTTCTTGGGCAAAGTCTTGGAATGTGTGGTGGCCTCACAACTCCAGGTATTCTTGGTAGACACAGATTATCTAGACCCGGCACAGTCTGGCTTTAGGCCGGGACATGGTACCGAGACAGCCTTGGACGCCTTGGTGGATGATCTGCGCCGGGAGCTCGACAGGGGGAATGTGTCCCTGTTGGTGCTGCTTGACCTCTCAGCGGCCTTCGATACCGTCGACCATGGTATTCTTCTGGGACGCCTCGCGGGGATGGGTCTTGGAGGTACTGTTCTGCAGTGGCTCCGGTCATTCCTAGAGGGTCGATCTCAGAAGGTGTTGGGGGACACCTGTTCACCCCCACAACCATTGTCTTGTGGGGTTCCTCAGGGCTCAATATTGTTTCCCATATTGTTTAACATCTGCATGAAGCCGCTGGGGGAGATCATCCGGAGTTTCGGGGTACGGTGTCATCTGTACGCGGATGATGTCCAACTCTGTCACTCCTTCCACCTGCTACTAAGGAGGCTGTCCAGGTCCTGAACCGGTGCTTGGCCGCTGTGACGGTCTGGATGAGGGCGAACAAATTGAAATTGAATCCAGACAAGACAGAGGTACTCCTGGTCAGTCGCAAGGCCGAACAGGGCATAGGGTTACAGCCTGTGTTGGATGGGGCCGCACTCCCCCTGAAGACGCAGGTTCGCAGCTTGGGTGTGACCCTGGACTCATCGCTGAGCCTGGAACCCCCGGTTTCGGCGGTGACCAGGGGAGCATTTGCACAGCTAAAGCTTGTGCGCCAGCTGCGCCCGTACCTTGGGAAGTCTGACTTGGCCACGGTAGTCCACGCTCTGGTTACATCCCGTTTAGACTACTGCAACGCTCTCTACATGGGGTTGCCTTTGAAGACTGCTCGGAAGCTCCAACTAGTCCAACGCTCGGCAGCCATGATTTTAGCAGGAGCGGAGCACAGGGAGCATACAACCCTTCTGTTGCGCCAACTCCACTGGCTACCGATCTGCTACCGGGCTGAATTCAAAGTGCTGGCATTGGCCTTTAAAGCCCTAAATGGTTCTGGCCCAAGCTACCTATCTGACCGCATCTCTGCCTATGAACCCACCAGGACTTTGAGATCTTCCGGGGAGACTCTGCTCTCGATCCCGCCTGAATTCAAAGTGCTTGCGTTGGCCTTTAAAGCCCTAAACGGTTCAGGCCCAAGCTACCTATCTGACCGCATCTCTGCCTATGAACCCACCAGGACTTTGAGATCTTCCGGGGAGACCCTGCTCTCGATCCCGCCTGCTTCTCAAGCTCGGCTGGCGGGGACGAGAGATAGGGCCTTCTCGGTGGTGGCTCCTCGGCTGTGGAACTCCCTTCCTACGGACATTAGACTAGCACCATCTCTAATGGTATTCCGCAAAAAGGTGAAGACCTGGATGTTTGTGCAGGCGTTTGAGTAATTTAGTGCAATCTGGTAATGGAACATAGGAATGGAACAATGGACGACGAACCTGGACTACGCTTGGATGATGAGAAGATTGGGTACGGTTGTTTTTTGTAATAATTGTGCATTGTAATTGCTTATTGGTAATTTATGGATAATGTGTTAAGTCAATTGTTATATGTTGTATGGAACCACTGCTGTTTCTACTGTTTTTACTGTTTGTGAACCGCTGTGAGTCGCCTTCGGGCTTGAGATACAGCGGTATATAAGCAAAGTAAATAAATAAATAATATGATTTTGTCCTTGGGTTATAAATGTCATTTCCTCATTGATTCTATCATTAAAACATGGAAAACGGAAAAAGCTTTGTTTTTGCAGCACATCCTGCAGCACATTTTGCTATAGTTTTTCAATGAATATCTGATAGAGTCTCAACCAATTCAAGATAGTTTGTGGCAGTCACAAAAATGAAGTTTCTTACTTTCAAGTAAGAACCACACAATTAAACAGGAAATAACACTTTGAAATCAGGAATAGAATTTTTTTCACATTTTGTTACATAGTGTTATCCATCTGAACATGTCAGGGCCATTTCCCTATACAAAGCAGACATAAATCACAACTGCCTGTGGTTTTCGAGAGGACAAGAATAAAAATAAAGCTTTACGTGTATTCACTTCTCTCAAATGGGAGGTCAAAAGATATTTGCAGAACAGTAGGGGAATGAATCTTCTTCTGTAACAGAGTACTTCTAGAAGCTGATCAACCTTAACATGCTGTTAGACCACCCACACAGAAAGCCAAAATGGAAATAAAAATGTTCTAGCATGTATTTTTTAACTTTAAGAATCGAGTATATGGAACAGAAGAAAGCAAGTACACTTTCCCAGCTTGTCACTGTATTACTGTGAATACCTTGAAACAGAATCTCAGGACAAGTGTGTTGTGTATGAAAAAAAGCTGAAGAATATCTAAATTCTGAATTATTTTATGTTGTTCCTTTTTTTTTATTTTTGGCATTTTAAGCTGCAGTCTTGCATACTTGGGACAAGGTTCAACTGAATTCAATAGAACATTCTTCAAAATCAATATGCATAGGATCCGATTTTGTTTGTGGTGAGAGGATGTGTCTAATGGAAGTACAAGTTTGTATTCAGAATATGAAAAGCTCAAGACTGGTTTGAACCATGTTTTCTTGCAGGCTATATTTTTAGAAATGAGGTGGCTTGGTTAGGACTCAGTACATGATATAATGCTTTAGTTCTGAAGTTGGAATGCTTTGCTCTAAACTGATTTGTTCAACCAAAAAGCTGCTGTAAAAGTGCTTGTCAGCAGGATACTTATAACTTTTGCTGTTTCTTGCATGTAGCTTTTCAATATTGACAAAATCCTTTTAGGAATTTGTTCTCCCACCCAAAGTACAGAAATAAAAGAATTTAATGAAATTAAATATTACTAGCTTATAATGAGAAGGAATAAAAACAATTTTTACTGCCAAGTATACAATAATCTATATGAAATGCAGGTATAAATCTACAGTCTCCTTTTATTACAAGTAAAGAAGATTCTACAGAAAATTCTCAAAAGCAATTATAACCAGTATATGGGGGTATTTAAAAGTGAATACAACATTGTTTATTTGTTTTTACTTTGTATTACAGAAACTCTACTTACTGTATGAAAGTATCCATTTCGCTGACAGTGGGGGAAAATGACACCGGCCTCTGCTACAATTCAAAAATGAAATATTTTGAAAGAGCTGAACTTAGCAAAAGCAAGGAAATCTCATGCCCTGACATACAGGATTTTTTAATACCATATAGAGAGCCTGAAATTCTGTGGTATAAGGTAAGAAATATGAAAAGCCTGGGTTGCTTCTAACAAAATGTTATATATTATGTTCTGCTGCTTTTTTCAGCAATCTGGATTTTTCACCTGAATGCTATATACAGCTTGGTGAGATTTAGGGAACACTAATAAGGAAAAGGCTAAATGAAATAGAAAGAGAAAGATCAGATGATACTTGCTGGGGAAATGTTGTGCCAGAATGCTGAGTCTCAACAGTTGTAGCACACCAGAATCTTTGGGCCCTTCCACACAGCCAGCTAGCCAAAAATATCAAAGCAGATAATCCACAATATTTTATTTGAACAGGATTATCTGAGCCCACACTGCAATATAACCCAGTTCAAAGCAGTTAATGTGAGATTTTATACTTTTGGCCCCTTCCACACAGCTGAATAAAATCCCACATTTTCTGCTTTGAACTGAATATATGGCAGTGTGGACTCAGATAACCCAGTTCAAAGAATATTGTGGGATTTTCTGTCTTGATAATCTGGGTTTTATGTCTGTGTGGAAGGGCCTTTTGTTAAGGCAGTAATTGAAAATAATGTTCTCTCCACCTTACATACTTGTAGCCTAATACTACCACCTGCTTGGCTAATAAGGTAAAGGTAAGGGTTTCCCTGACAGTAAGTCTAGTCATGTCTGACTCTGGCAGAGGTGTTTCTAAGCTGAAGAGCTGGCATTGTTTGTAGACACCTCTAAGGTCTCATGGCCAGCATGGCTGCATGGAACGCCATTACCTTCCTGCAGGAGCGGTACCTATTGATCTGCTCACATTTACATGTTTTTAAACTGCTAGGTTGGCAGAAGCTAGACCTAACAGTGGGAGCTCACCCTGCTCCCCGGATTTGAACCACCAACCTTTCAGTCAGCAAGTTCAGCTGCTCAGTGGTTTAACCCACTGTGCCACCAGGGGGCCCAGTAGATTAAACAACTTGGTTTATATTTTGCTGAAATATAACCTGAAGCTAAAGCTGCACATTCACAGTGATCATGTACATTGATAATAGTAGAGCCCTCTTCAGGTATTATTCAACACGTATTGTCTTTTTATTAGCACTTCTCCATATTAACTGTCCTTATTTTGAGAACAATTGTGTATGGTCACAGATTCAACAAAAGTAGCTTCATCTGGACTGATTTAAGCATGAGTTTCTGACTGTTCACACACATGCACCCTACAGCCCTTTTATTTGGGCTCAGATTAATTCCAGTTCAAAATGACCTTCATGTCATGACTTTGTTCCCCTTGAAACAGGAAAATGGCATATTGGTTGATTTAAAAGCTTATTGTTGAATACCGATTTTCTGCTGTATGCTTTGCACAGGACATTTTGGTGTACTCCCCTGATCTTAAACTAAATGATGTAGGAGACAGATACTATTTTTTCCTGTATGTCAAGGACCAGCACCAAATTTGTGCCTATTGGCAAAGGTGTGTTTGTTTTCTCTAAAACTCTGCAGTGACTGGTACCTGACAGCCAATTTTAAGGAGTATTGTTATATACCATGATAAACCCTGAAGGTAAAATGCCTTCCTTCTTGTGAAGGACATGGGAGAAGAACAATTTCCTACCTGGATGACCCAAAAGATGACCAGGGGCATCTTTCACACAGCCCTATATCCCAGAATATCAAGGAAGAAAATCCCACAATATCTGCTTTGAACTGGGTTATCTGAGTTCACATTCAGATAATGTGGGGTTTTCTGCCTTGATATTCTGGGATATAGGGCTGTGTGGAAGGGCCCCAAGGTGGGTGGTTGGTAGAAGTGGGATGGAGTTGTGATTTATAATCCCTGATGTTCCATCCTCCCACTCACCAGTCAATTTCCAGGAAGCTTGAACACGTTGGCTGTCTCTTCAAGCCCTGAAACCTAAAGGAAAAAAACAAAAAAAATGCTCCTAAAGGTTGTTCCCTTGACTTTCCCAGAACCGCATGATCCATGGGGAAACCCAGGGACTTTCCATACAGCCATATAATCCAGATAACCTGGTTATCTGAGTCCACACTGCCATATAGCCCAGTTCAAAGCAGAAAATGTGGGATTTTATTCAGCTGTGTGGAAGGGGTCCCAGAGAACTCTCACAAAATGATGGCATGGGGCTCACCAATAATTGATCAAGATTTTAGCTTACCACAAGAAACTGCCACAGAAAGGATCAAACTTCTGCTTAGTTTATTTCTGCCATAAGGTCATGTAATATGGTCTTCAATCCATGCTGCCAATTCTATTATTATTACTTACATGCCCCAGTGAGTGACAAAAGAGGAAACAAATTTGGAATGATAGCAGTCATTTTGGATTTTTCCTGAAAAGAGTACAGGTCTTAGGCATCATATCCATATGAGTAGCTGTCAGATGCAGTCCTGTTAGCATTACATGATTCTGAAACTCTGTTTGAGGATGGCAGCCTAATATGGATTATCCCGATATAACAGAGCAGTGGTACTCATGATTTGGAGGATTGGTTTTGAAAAAAAAAATATTTTAGAAGGATAGTGTAGGACAAGAGATCCTGCTTAAATTGTAAGGGAGCAAAAGGCTCTTAATTTGCGTTTTGGTTTTATAAGTCTACAGAGATGTGATTATGCCACCCCCTGCTTATGTCCTACTATTTGCAGCTCTAATCTTGTATTATAAAGCTAAGCTTGGGCAAGAGGAAATGCCAAGCAAAATAAAGAAACTGTTCAGTAATATTCCAGAAAAGAGAGTTTGTCCACTAAACAAATGAATTGCCTGCAGTGTGCTGGTTTTAAAGATTACAGTGTTTGAAGCCTCCTGCAGCACTGAAAAATAAATGCATTCAAATTCATGCAACTAGTTTATTTTATATTTTAGTTGGGAAACACTAAAAGCAGAACAAGACTAACATAAAATTTAAATTGTAATAGTTGTCAAAACTCTATATAAGCTTGCATAATTAATTTTTTTAATTAGTAGAATTTTTGTAATGTTCATATTTGGGTTCCAAACAAATTCTGACTTAACATGAGCCTAAATATGTATTTAATAGCATTACATCTGTAATACCTTTCATGATGTAATTGAAATATTTCATTTGTGAATTGAATAAGATGATCTGGGGAGGAAATTTCAGTCCTTTCTCAACATTATTTATTTAGCTTCCCTACTTTTCTTTCCTGATCAATTATGTTGCCACTTTGGAGATGTGGTGGTGCAATGGGTTAAACCCTTGTGCCGGCTGAACTTCCACTTTCTCATCATGTGGACCTTAAGCTTTAACAGCAGGCATGGTTCAATGAAATTCATCCAAACCTTCAAATCTTTACCAGCTGGATTTCTGCCTGCTATGCAGCTTTCTTTCTTTCTTTCTTTCTTTCTTTCTTTCTTTCTTTCTTTCTTTCTTTCTTTCTTTTTCTTTCTTTTTTTTTTGCAATGAAAAAAGGGGAGGGGGACAGGCTTAACTGCTGATTATTGAATAGTTAAAAAGGATATTTCCTCCATTTTAATGTAAAAGTCTTAATTGAGATCCTAATTTCTCCAGTCTTAAAGAGAAATGATATCAATGAATGTTATCCAAATTATTGCCATGGTGATAAATTTTGAACATTTTTCTGTGTCACACACACATGGACAAGCATTAATATTATGATGGCTCAGCATGTTTTTGAAATCAAAAAGTCCAATAATCATATTACCTTATTCACCACAAGTTTCATGCTGTTTGTCCCTTGATTCACATAATTTTTTTGTGAGGCACAAGGTAATCTGTTCAAATTAATCAAACTCCATGGAACCTGAATTAAATCAACTTTCGATTAATCCTGAACAACCCTCCTTCTTTCCATGCATTTAAAAATATGGATGAATTTTCCCTAGTATTTTCCAGCCATAATGGCATAGTTATTTCTCATTGCTAATATATGTAAAAACATGCATGTTTGCCGGGGGGGGGGGGGGCAATTAGAGTTGTGTTTTGATATAAAAACACCTCAAAACAGAATGACCCCAAAAGCTCTGAATGTGAACTCAAATATCATCTTTGTTTAAAGGTACAAACCCTTGTTCTGAGTTTGTGTCACTTTTTAAAATCTTTTGAATCTTTCACTTTAATGTATCAAATGTGAATGTAAGAGTATAATCACTGAGGTGCTGTAATTATCTTTGCATAGGAATGTCAAGTCACAATCTGGAGACCAAGTATTCTGATCAAAAGGGACATTCTTGTTATCAGGGAGGTCAGAGAAGATGACATTGGAAATTACACTTGTGAATTAAAATACGGACTGTTTTCTGTGAGAAGGACGACAGAATTAACAGTTACAGGTAATTGGAGATTTCTCAGTATACACTTTTGACATTAATTCTGGTTTTTCTGGGTTTTTTGCTGATGCTCTGCCACACAGGAAAGGTCTTCATCTGCTAATGGGTTAGAGGGAGTATTATGCAACAAAATAATTATTAACCTTCCTTGTGGCTTAACAACATTCCTTCCATTTTTATTTCCACCCGTTTCTGAGACTTTCAAGAAGTTCACCTTTGTGTTAAAAAGAATATCACTAGCATGAATAATTATAAATAGATCTCATATTCAGTGATATCCCTTAGGATAGCAAACTCTACACTGTATTTTGCATTAAACTGATCTATTTAAGTGTGAGTAATACTTTGGTTGTATATGACCTGATGTCAGAAATCTGTTTATATTAAATATCTTTGTCTATCAAAAAGATGAACTATGAGAGTAAAAGAGAACAGTGGTTATTTTTAGTTAAGTATTCCATCCCTTAAAGAGGCTACTGCTGCATGTAATGCAAGAAACATCAATTCTCAGGAATTTGCTTGGAAATTTACTGTTCTTTTTCAATCTTTTCCTCATTGTATATATTTTTCAAGGAGTCTTTTGGTGATAGAACAAATGTATTTTTCGAATGATATGATTGTATGATTTCTAGATATGGTTTTAAAACCATTATTGAACAATTGGCTGATTAAACCTTTAATCTTATACAGAGTTGCCTGAGTTGAACTTGGTGAGGTTAACTTTTGAGCTGACTTATGTGGGACTGGTAAAAAGCATCACTACAAATTTAGAAGATTCTTCCAAGTTTGTGATCTGAAAAAACAGAAGTGTAAAATCATAGGAAGGGAAAAAGGAAAAATAAAGCATATAGTGTCATTCTCTGGCCCTTTTTAATTTCTATTAAAGAAACCTTTAAAAACCCTTTTGACACAGAAAAAAGAGTGGAGGCGATGACAAATCTGTTTGGAAGTTGGGACATAACATGTTTTTGGCATTCTTAACTTGGCTTTCTTAGGATTGCTCAACTGAAGTACTGACCAGTACAGTGTGGAAAGTGCTTCATCTCTATTGTTCTCATCACTGAGGAACAAAATGTAAATACTCACTACTTTATTAGGGACACTTGGAAAATGAAACTATGAATGGAATCAATGCCTTTTCTTCCATTTTAAAAGGCATCGTGATTTATTCCTGGTGGCACTATATCTAAAGTGTTTCTTGTGATTTTGTCAAATTACAGTGGTTGTGTTTGAATAATCCATTTTACCTTAAAAGTGATTGAAATGTTCTGTCTAATAATCTGGTGGTTCTTCAGGGAGACAGTATGGTCAGCTTCTGCTGAACGTTGATTACCTCGTATGCAAAGTGTGATGACTAGATTTTATCATATACACTGGAGGACCTAGATATTCCCAAAGAGGTGTTTTCTCAGATGAAAACTTGCATTTTTAATTTGTGTTTGTGTGTTTTTTGTCTTTTTTGTGGGTTTTTTTTTTGCTTTTTGTGTCCCTGGTTTCAGGGAATGTGGAGTTCTATTCATTATAAATGATGTCCTATGAATCCGATCCCGGTTTTAGTCTAATTATTAAAGGAATTATTACTAGAGTGTTAAGTATGTTTGGGAAGTAAGCTTTCAGTTCTTTTGATTTCTTCTCTCAGGTTCAAACTAAAGTCCAAAGCAGATCTAAATCCTGCTGATGGGAACTACAACAACATAAAATAAGTGTGTATTGTGGTGATAGTGGTGGTGGAGCTGATAGACTCCAGGCAGCCTTTAACAATACCAACCCCCCTCTCTCTAAATATACATGACTAGCTGTCCCCTGCCACGCATTTCTGTGACCTAGTCTGTTGATCTGGGAAATAAAGTAATGAGAAAGTGTTGGTTTCTAATATATATAATTATGCTTGTGAGTAAACAGTATTTCTTGCTGTGTCTTTGTCAGTGTTGATGTGGAGAGTGTCTGGTTTGCCCACTCTGGAACATGCAACATATCATTGTCCTTCTTTAAGGGTCCCTTTCAAATCTATGATACTATATCTCTCTGTTTGTGAATCATATCTATCTATCTATCTATCTATCTATCTATCTATCTATCTATCTATCTATATCAATGGCTGGATGGCTCTTTGTCAGGAGGGGTTTGATGACATTTTCTTGCCCTGATGAAGGGAGTTGGATTGGATGGCCTTAAGTATTTTCTGTTGGTTGTGGGGGTTCTGTGTGGGAAGTCTGCCGGATTCTGTCATTCATGGGGTTCAGAATGCTTTTTGATTGTAGGTGAAATGTGAATCCCAGTGACTACAACTCCCAAATGTCAAGGTCTATTTCCCCCAAACTCCATCTGTGTTTATATTTGGGCATATTGAGTATCCGTTAGGGCTGGGCGGTTTCGTTTCGTAATTTCGTAATTCGTTAAAAATTCGTTATTTTTTTTGTTACGAAGCGATAACGAACCATTCAGGAGCATCTAAAAAACGAAACGAATTTTTCAATTCATTTCATAATTGCTTCGTATTCGTTTCGTATTCGTTTCGAAATTGTTTCGAAATCGTTTTGTTATTATTTCCGCATGTCTGTTGTTTGTTTAATCAGTGAAAAAAAATATAAATATCACACCAACAGTCAACAACAGAGGGAGAGGGAAGCTTCAGAAGTTCCCCCTGTCCCATATGGAGGTTTTTTAGCGTATTGCGCGGTCGCGTCCGCCATTAACGAATCGATTCGTATTCGTTTCGTATTCGTTTCGTATTGTTTCGTAATTTTACGAAATTTCGTAAATATCGAACTTTTTTAAAGAAAAATTTCGGAATTCTTTTAAATATCGAAACGCAAAAAACCCCAAAAAACGAATCGAGTTTAGAAACAAATTTTTCCGTGGTTGCCCAGCTCTAGTATCCATGCCAAGTTTGGTCCAGATCCATCATTGTTTGAGTTCACAGTGCTCTCTAGATGTAGGTGAACTACAACTCCCAAACTCAAGGTCAATGCTCAGCAAACCCTTCTAGTGTTTTCTGTTGGTCATGGGAGGCCTGTGTGCCAAGTTTGGTTCAATTCCATCATTGGTGGAGTTCAGAATGCTCTTTGATTGTAAGTGAACATAAATCCCAGGAACTACAACTCTCAAATGACAAATAATAATTTTGTGAGTGATGGCCACTCCTTGTGTTGTGAGATGTTTTGTTGCCAAATTTGGTGTGATTTCATTCATTGGTTCCTTTGTTTTTAAGGCACTCATTATGCACAGAGCATGGCTGGAATCACTGGGTTGTTGTAGGTTTTTCAGGTAGGAAGAGACCTCCAAGGGTCATCCAGTCCAGCCCCTTCTGGCAAATGGGAAAAGCACAATCTAACCACTCCTGAGAGATGGCCATTCAATCTCAATAATAATAATAATAATAATAATAATAATAATAATAATAATAATAATGGAATCCTAGGATAGGAAGAGACCTGCAGGGGACCTGCAGTCCAGCCCCTTTTGGATAATGGGAGAAGCACAATCTAACCACTCCTGACAGATGGCCAGCCTCAGTTTAATAATGATAATAATGATAATAATGATAATGGAGAGGAAGAGAACTCCAGCCCCCTTTGGCATAAGGGAAAAGCACAATCTAAACACTCCTGAGAGATGGCCATTCAACCTCATAATAATAATAATAATAATAATAATAATAATAATAATAATGAAAGAATGCTAGCATAGGAAGAGACTTGAAGGGGCCATCCAGTCCAGCCCCTTTTGGCAAATGGGAGAAGCACAATCTAACCACTCCTGACAGATAGCCAGCCTCAGGTTAATAATAATAATAATAATAATAATAATATAAACAATATTAATAGCAGTCCACTTACATCCGGAGAGCACTGTGAACCAAAACAAAGATGAATCTGGATCAAACTTGGGAAGAAAACTCAATATGGCAAAATTGGTACACAGTAGAGTTTGGGGAAGACCTTGACATTTGGGAGTTGCTTGTGGGGGGGGGGGGGGGCGGGCCCTTCACTCTTTCACCCCACATAGGACAGAAGGGGAAAGAAGATAAGGGGAAGAAGGAAACGGAAGGAAGGAAGGAAGGAAGGAAGGAAGGAAGGAAGGGGAAGGGTAGGAGGGAGGAGAAACAGAAGGGGAAGAAGGGAAGGAAGGAAAGAACGGGCAGAAGATAACAAGGAAGAATGGAAAGGAAAGGTAGGACAGAAGGGAAAGAAGGGAAGGAAAGGGAGGGAGGGAGGAAAGAACAGAAAATAAAGGAAGGAAGGAAGGAAAGGAAGGAAGGAAGGAAGGAAGGAAGGAAAGACAGAGGATAAGGGGAAGAAGGGAAGGAAGGAAGGAAATAAAGAAAAAGAAGGGTGGGAAGGAGTTAGGAAAAACAGAAGGGGAAGAAGGAAAGGAAAGGAAAGGGAGGGGAGGGAGGAAAAACAGAAGATAAGGGAAGGAAGGAAGGATCACAGCACTCTGGCTGCCCCATGGGCAATGGGGAAGCTGGGGAGGAGATGAAAGAAGCCCGCCTGCCCAGGAAGGCGCCAGGGCTCGGGAAGGGAGGCGTGCCGCACTGGAAGGGCGAGTGGGGCTTGCTGCTGGGCCTCTGGGAGACCTCTTGGGGGGAACGGAGGGTGGGAGGAACGGAGGACGGCAGGCCCCGAAACAGCCAGGGAGGAGGGGGAGGAGTCCTCTCTGCATGCAATTGCTCCTGGGAAAGGCTGGCCAAGCATCTCCCAGGCGCAGTTGCTATGGAGTGGAGAAGCTGCCTCCTGCTTCTGCTCCTTCAGTTGAGGCTCAAAGAGGCATTGAGGGTGAATAGGAAGAGGCCCCTCTGTCTCTGTTGGTCAGGCTGGTGTTTCAGATGGTGAATTTTGGTGGAGCTATGGCTGGCTCCGGGAGGCCCAGCAGCCGTTGCCGCCACAAGTTCCACCGCAAGATGATGGAGGAGCTCTTACATGCACGTGCGCACCCCCCACAGCTGCACGCATGCGCTGTGATGGCTTCTCCTTTTATTAAAGATTTCTAAGTTGTTTTTG